GAACTGAAAGGTATACAATATTGATTACTCAGTACTGTTCACAGTTTTGCAGGAAAAATGTATTATCAAATAATTTGTGATTATCTGTTAAAAGTAACTGATTATTCATTCATTCATTTGTTTGTTTGTGTACTCTTTATTTGCCAGGCAGACAATTTGAAGCACAGATCACAAGTTATAAACGCAATGCAGAAGAAAGATCATAAACAACTATGGCTTGGTTTAAGTAATGGTGAGTGGAGAATGCTATGTTTTCGTACAAAAACATAATTTTCCAAACACAAGCTCCTTGTTGAATATTTGTCCAAACTTGTCTCAATTCTCTACTGGAGGCAGAAAATTGTTCCTGAGAGAACAAACTCCATCTCTTTGAGGTGCTAATATGCAGTAAAAAGACCTGTGTACCGTGTGTTGCATCTAGGAATTCACGCCCTGGTAGCCATGGAAACCTCTTTACTCAGAGAGCAGTGTTTTCCAGACACATCTGATTTTTTATTTGTCAGTAAAGTATGAATTTTGAATAAGAGCGGCCCTGAAATAAATTCTGCCCCTAACACGTGCATAAATAAAATGCTAAGTGGTTAGTTGCTGTGGACTGGATTCCCAACTGTAGGAATAGCTTTAGTCATAGTGACCTAATGTCAAAGAAAATGTGATAAGCCTTAACCAAATGAGCCTCTCAGCTTGTAAACTGACTTGTAAAACTCATGGGGAACAAAGATTCCACTAAATTTCCACCTCATCTAACACGTGGCTTCATGGTGCATTCATTGGAAGCCTCCAACTGTGATCAAGGAGGCTAAAAGAGGCGATGACAAGCGGTTTTTAAACCATAATTTTTTATACTTCGTCCTTGATAGTTGCTTTAAATGCAGTTAACTTGTGAATCAGAGAGCACATATCGTATGAATAATTGTTTGTTTTTAAATCTAACAGATAAATTTGAGCAGTTTTGGGCCGTAAATCGGCGTCTGATGGAGAGAACAGGAGAGGATCCTCACTTCAAGCATATCCCCTTCAGAATATTTCAGGTAATGCATAACGATTATGTCTATAAAGTGGTCAGCCAATGAGGATACAGAAACAGTTCAAGAGAATACTTCTTTTGAACACTTACATAGGGAATATTTGTGCCTTCTTGAGATTAGAATGATGTTGTAGTCGCTGGAAGCCAAATTGCCGCGCGCTTAGCTACTCACTCTACCGGATGTAAGTGTATTGTTTTGCACTTTTGAATCCATTACGCCCTAGCACCAGTATGTTTGTTCTCCTCGCTGTTCTCTACGCATATCCTTTGGTACTTCGCGATTTGTGCGACATCGGTTTTTGCGTGCGATGTTTTTGTTTATCTTGGATTGCTGATGATTTTAGCCCAATTGTGTTCTATTATTGTGTCTATAGAATTGTGTCTATTAAATTATGTCTGTAATTGTGTTTATAATTGTGTTATATAACTGTGAACATTGCATTTTGCAGCCTGACAAACAGTTTATCCAGGAGTTGTTCAGACCTCTTAATGAAAATGGTAGGTATCATCTTCCATGGAACTCTGATTAGAATGTTTGAGGTCTTTAGATTCTGGGACGGGCTCTGAAACAAAAACGAGATTTTGATTCCAGTCTTCACAAAAATAGTTCGATAACATTTCCTTAGTATATAACCTAACTGCGTTCATTCTGAGCGACAAAATCTGCACGGAGAGTATTTTCAGACATTATTGTACCCTTTCCAGACAGAAAAACTAACGATTCGCTATCCACACCACTACACCATTTTCACTAAAACTTTCCCCTAGTTTCGCGCATGCGCGCATTGTTTCACCAATAAAAGATCTTGATCCCATGGTCGTGCTATTATTTTAGAGTCTAAAGCTCTCTATAATTGAGCAAATATGTGTTCTCATGACTAAACCAAATTTCCTGTATTGATACTAAACGAAAACTCTTCAATTAGATGTTAAAAAGTTACGTTCTTTTATAGGCGAGCAGCACACACTGGGTGATCTGCTACATGAATTTGCTCCCGAGGTGTTTGCTAATGGTACTGCAGAGATCGATAATGATTGGAGGATTGTGATTCAAGGAATTGAGCCTCCTCTGGAGACTCCTATACATTGGATCAGTGAACATTTTAGTCATCCTGATAACTTTTTGTACATTGTGATCGTGCGGGTTGTGTAGTGTTGTTAAAAGGGGAATTTTTAAAGTCAATTTTGTCATCGCGAATTCTTAGGGGTAATTCCTATAGATCGCATTTCGTTTCAGTTCGAGTACCTTATACCACAGTGATCACAACAGCTCATCAAAAAAAAAAAAAGAAAATCTAATGGGCAGTTAGTGAGAACTTAAAGTCAAAACAAGCATTCTGCTTTTTTTAAAGTTGTCCTAGACGAATCTCTACTCTACTTCCGGTCTACTGTACACCACAAGTTACCAAGATAACGCTAATTTGTTTTCTAACTCACAAAATATATCTACTCCCACGCGGTGATGACGTCTAAGAAGATATATTTAGAGAGCTTTTGCATTGCCCTTCTTTGTATAAAGGAATTTGTTTTTGAAATTTATAGATGGAAAAATTGTAAATAAACAGTGACTTAAAAGCATTTAGATAATAGATGTACGCAAGACTATTGCTAACATTCTGGTGCTCTAATTCAATGCCAGTGTTCTTCATGAACCCGTGTTTGTAAATAAACAGTGACTTAAAAGCATTTAGATAATAGATGTACGCAAGACTATTGCTAACATTCTGGTGCTCTAATTCAATGCCAGTGTTCTTCATAAACCCGTGTTCGTGTTTGAATGCTCCATTTGCTCTGGGGTAGACGGTGGTTTGTTTTATATTTTTTTTAGGTTGTTATACACTTAGAGCTGCGAAGAATTACATGAGGCGTGAAGCATCCGTTTGTCGACTTCCTTCTTGTTTTTAATGGGTCAAACGTCCTACGGCTTCATTTTGAACGGTTTTTTAGAGACATCGTGATGATATCCAAGCAAATCGGGAAAAACTTTTCTTGATGGACAAGAGCCTTATCCAAGTCGATAAATCATCTATCGAACGTTTTCGAATCAGATTTGATCGATAAACTAGATCAAATTTCCTTCACGAACATTATCATTACTCTCGCCCCATCCCCCTCCCACCCCGTTAGAGCTAAATCTAAATATCGTTATGTCGGCAAAATCGTTTAGGACATCACGCCAACTCTAATGGTAGAAAAAGCTTCACAAACGTGCCGCGAGACGATCCAAACGAGCTCTCGGAAAGATGTGGAACTGGCGGCAAATTTTTCCAAACGAAATGTGATTTCCTTGTGAGAGAAACTCGAAAATAGAACGGGATCTTCAGGCGGCATAGCTCTGGCACACTGTTTGAACTCAAAATTTCCCGAGCAGGACGGGGAGCAGCAGTCGAAAAAGAAGAAAGTTCGGCGATGTTCTGAAGGCTCTCGGCTGTGAGAGATCTTGGATACAGTTCTTTTTGCAGCCATTCGAAGGGGCCTACCCCAGTGAAGAGTGGGAAAATAATCCGTTCCAACCCTTCCCCCCCCCCCCAACATAAAAAATCAAGCAATCAAAACAAAACAAATCATTCCAGATGAATTAGAAAACAAAAGGTGATTAAATTTATTCATCTGACCGTCTTCTGTAAGACTGTGTCACTTATGGCAACCCGAGGTCGTCCGTGCAATACTCAGGAGATGTAAAAGATTTTATTATTGTGTCCAATAACTGACGTTACGCATCCTCAAACTCACATGAGGTTGTCTGCTTGATGTATTATCAACTACAAACACCGGGCAAGTGGTTTCTCGTAAAGTTCCTAATCGCTTTTCGCAAGTAACGCATGCGCCAGCAGTATATTAAAGGGTTTAAGGAGGAGTTGATATAAACGAAGACGGCTGACCAGCTGAGAGTGAGGCGCACCAAGCTGAACGGCAACTGAACAAGATTAACCACAATTCTAATGGAAAGATAAGGAATGTAGAATGAACACAACCAGAGAAACACCACAAACATGTTGACAGCAGGCTTTCTTAAGCGCGTTTTATTCAAAACTTCTTGCATTTGAAATTGGTCGCGCCTCTGATGACGTCGTGCGATTCTGAAAATCATGTGATAAACTATGGAGGTTGCAATCAGACTTGAAGACACGATGGTGATGCAGAGAGACAGGTGCAATGAGGGAATTAAAATCGTAAAACCATATGTTACACTTGCTATCCAGATCAGAAATAAAACAGTCAACGTTCGCTGGACTGTTACCAGGGCTTTGTATCTCAAATGAAGATGCAGAGCCAGAAATCTATCGACGCTCACTGCTGTTATTGTTAATAGCGTTGTTGATACAAAAATTGCTTGGGTTATTCTGTAACATGTCCAAGTGGCGGTAGGGTGCTCCCTGGTTACAACTTCAATGATCAGTACGGTCAAGTACAATGGTTGTATAATAAGACCCACGCCAAAATCTGATAAGGCGAGTCCAAAGAGGAGAATATTGGAAGGCGAGTGCAAAGAAGGAGTTTTCCAAATCGTACCAAGAAGGAGGCCATTCCCTGCCAAAGCTGTTAACGAGAAAATTGCATTCACAGAACATTTGATTACGAGATCGTTAAATTCACCTGCCGGACTAACTCTGATCTGCTGTTCATCGGCGTTGCTGTTTGAAGTTTGGTTAAAAAAGCTCGTCATGGCGTCTTTGATTTATGCTTTTTTTCGTTGAAATTTACCGAAGAGATCGTGGACAAAGTTTGATTCCTTCTGTCCACGAAAAGGGCCTCAACGTTTCTGAAAGCACAGGAGACAGTATCTGTCTACATGATCATAATTCGAGTAGTTGCACAAAAAAAATCAATAGTTTTCAGCTGACTTAATCAATTTTCATCCCGTCGTTGGTTCGATATTTTGATTGCCATCAATCATAATATGACACGCATTTACGCATTGCTGTAATAAATTTTGAAAGAATAAAGATTTCAACCCAGCCACATACGGGAGCTTGATGACTTAGTTTTGCGAATCGCTTCTGTCTGTCTTATCAAGGGCTTGTGGTGAATGGGATAATTGAATTAAAGTCAATATATTCCTCATTCGGAATTCTGGCGATGAAACTTGGATGAAAGTTCTCAAAACGAAAAGAAATAAAGACAAGCTATGTTGTCAATCAAAAGTTAAAATAATGATAATGGGATTTCAAGATGAAAACGAAGCAGTGGCTAATTTGGAACTGTAGATTTCAGAGAAACCCCCGCGTGTCACCGAAAAAGAAGAACTATATTGTCCGTCTTTCCTGTTCGATACTTTAATTCCATTTGCCACCCGGCTGTTCATCCACTCATCTTAGAAAGAATGGAGGGGGGGGAGTAAAAGTGATATCAACTCATTGTCGTCTCTTTCAGCCAGAAACTTGCAGAAATATATTCTTGTAATAAGCTACGCCCCTCCCCACAGCAGTAGAAACTGAGCAAATTTGAAGGGATTGGGGAGGGGAGGGAAAGGGATGGGAGGGGAAGCGGTTGGTTTACTTCTTCCCCCCTCCTATCCTAAGCAAAACCAAATGAGAAAGCGTCTTGGTAAGAAATTTTTCGTCGGGGCTCATTTAGTTTCTGAACTGTCGTCAGGAGCTATTTTTGTATCAGATAAACACTTACAGCGAAGCATGAAAATTGTTAGGCATTTTAGTTTCATGGTGCGATGATTATTTTTCCTGTTTTGCGGCAACAAGTTTTCGATTCAACAGTTACAGAAATTGTTGCTGGCTAGACTTTACGACTTCCTTCTCAACCAGCAGCACATAAACAAGGAGAGAAACCTCAAGTTTCTTAACATTTTTTGTCAACTTGTTGTCGACGAGATAATGGTTACATCAAGTAAGTTCTAATGCAAGCAATAAGAATTAACAATAAATTCGCTTACGCATTTCTTCGTTTCATTTGACTGAAAGCAGTAAATTTTCGCGTCCTTTAATGTTGCCAAAGTTTATTCTTGTTGAAGGAGGACCTTACGCAAATTTTAAGAAAAGCCCGTTATCTTTGTGTGTTACACGGCATGATTTTAAAGAATATAGTTATTGGCCACGGAGACAAAATACGCAGTGATGATAACTTTCCCGCGCTCGTTTATTGTTGAAAGGCAAACGGTATAATTGAAAATTATACCGTATGGAAATCTTCTCTGGATCGATGTATAATTTCCAACTATTAAAAACTAGATCATTGGATAATGCAATTCAAGACTTTTTATTGGCTTAGCCATTATGGTATATCAGCCAATATACCATAATCTACAAATATGGCCATCGTACGTGTCAGCTTAATATTAAAAGGGAGCTAAAAAT